TAAACCTTAGTTTCATTTGAGAAAAAAATAATTCGAAATCTAATAATTTGTGGGATAGACAAGTATGGGGTAGAGTAAATGTTAGTCTCACATGTTATTACATGTTTGATATGTCAAAAAAAGAAAATCATATGCATAGTCTCACAAAGACAATATCTTTGTGTTATATTAGGATAAAAATATTTCATGAAGACAAAAAGATTATGGAAACGCTGACATCGGAAAACGAAAGAAATTATCGCGACTTGGTATTTTCTTAAATATTTATTTTTTAGGTGTACAAATAAATTTCCGCCGTTTGACAAAAGACGGTGCCACTAGTAAGTTATGGTTAAAATTGTCTGATGTAAAACATTATATCGTAAGGTTGGACATCTGTCAACAACATAACCTTGAAGTACTAGCGATTTTGTATCAGCATCATATATTTTTTTTGTGCGAAAATGCCGAGTTTTGAGCCGAATAAGCGTCATTTGCGGAAACTTTTGATTTACTTCTTTAATTTGAAGAAATTTGCAGCTGAGGCTCATCGATTGCGTAGAAGCATATGGTGAGGCTGCCTTAAGTGAAAAAAGTTGTCGTGAATGGTTTCAAAAATTTAAGAACGGTGAATTTGACGTCGAAGACAAAGAACGTAGTAAAAGGCTGAAAGTGTACGAAAACGCGGAATTGGAAGCATTATTGAATGAAGATTCGTGCCAAACGCAAAAAGAACTTGCACTTACATTTTGACTTACATCAATAAAACATTATGTATCGTTCTTTCACAATAAATGCTTAATTTTTGATAAAAAATAGCAGAAACTTATTTGTATACCTAATATTATATATAAAGTAATTTTAAATAAAATGCTGTAGTATCAACTTATTTAAATTACTGTCAAGAATGTAATTCTCTTTATCGGAAAATAAAATTCTCTTCGAGAACATTTGTACTTAAAACACATGATGCTTGTTTCATTAATGTAGCTTTGTGTTGATTCAAAAGAGTTGTTGCAAAATTCAAATCTATCGTAGAAAAACAAATTAAATTTATTAAAACATTTAAATAATTAAAAACATTAAAATAATTTAAAATTTTCTTCTATCCTGGGGATCGATTGCCTATTTTAAGACGTGATGAAAATTACAAAGTGAGCAAATTTATTAGGTAATGACTAATGAAATAGTAAGTATACTAATAGATTCGCTGATTTCAAGATACAATCAATAGATCCTTTACATAATTAGTACCTCACACAAGTATCATGCTAAAAAAATATTATTTAAATTCTTCAAATATGTTTGTGAAAAAGAATGTAGAAATTGTATTTACCATTAACAGCATGTTGATGAATTTCAGGAGATACATACAAAGTATAATTTGATACGTCATATAATATTAAAGATTTTACTTGTTTATAATTTTTATTTTTTAAATTATCCTTATCTACTTCTTTGGAGATATTCATCTATTTTTCTAAATTTTTAAGTAAGGTCAACATTTTTGTTATTAAATTAATATTTTAAATAAGGGGAATTCTATATTCAATCAAAGCGGATCTTAATATTAAATACATAATTCTTTGTGAATTTATAACATTCTGATTGTACATATTGCATGACCGAATATAGGATTCCTTTATTTAATTAAATTTATTTTCATCAGTCCAATATTCGCTTCATATTGCTTAAATCATATTTCAATAAATATGTATAATAATAAATAAATAATAATCAACTATATATTATAAAAGTAAAAATTAACTTCCTTCCTGAATAAGCCGATAAAGCAAATGCAAACTACAGTGTCAGCTGATCTCTTACGGAACATAGCTATGTTAGTTACAGCACTACCAATTTTGTAACTAAAAAGAAAATTTTTGACACAGCTATTGGAACACAACCAAGGAAAGATTCAGTATCAATTTCACAATTGACACGAAGCAGGTCGGTATTCATAGTCGATTCTTACATTTAAGTCTATCTTAAGTATAGTCTTAAGATGTCATAAGTCAATCCGAGGACTGTATTAGCATATTAAGCATTATTTAAGACAGTTTTAAAATAAAAACGGATTATGAATATCGCCCCATGTTTTAGCGTTTCACAGTTGACAGCCTTAGTCTCTTAATTCATAGACAGAAACGATGGAGATTCAGAGAGAGATGCTTGCAAATTGCACACATTATGTTATCCCTTCCATTATAGTACCAGAGCGACGACGCGGCATATCATTTGATATAGTAGTTAGGCGCGGTTCCATTGAGAGATAGATACGTATACTGAAAAAGAGACAAAAACAAAAGACAAGCAAAAACTATATTTATGACTTATTTTATTTTCGTTTGGAATCTCTTTTGATCCTAAGAGTTATATTTGCATAGGCTGTGTTCTAAAACGCGCGTGGCGGAAAGACTGGAAGGTAGCGTTGGAGGGTAAAATTGAGAGGGACCTGCTTACCGTTGAAATCTTGATGAGGATCACATGACCATTTGGAAAACTCTGGTATCACTGAATTATATATATATATATACAGGGTCCGGCAAAATGATCTCCCACATTTTTAAATTATTAAAGATTAAAATGTGGGAGATCATTTTGCCGGACCGTGTATAAGCATCGAGGAAAATTCGTGGCCGCAATTGATCAGCCATCATTTTAGTTGGAATGATATTTGAGCGAATTAGAAGCGTTCGCGTGCGCGTTGTAATCGATATACTGTCGATGTATGGAAATCTATATGGACATGAATGGTATATAAACAAAAATAATATCTCTTCAATTTTATTAGTACATTTAATATTTTCATTAGCGAATACATTCATTCGCGCGCGCATTGCGCTTTTAAGAGTAGAAACAACATTTGTATAGAAATATTTATTTCTATATGATTATCGAGAACAAGAGGAACAGTGGAAAGAACATTTTAATGTTACAAAAATGTGGAATAATATATTATTTTTAAATACTACAAAATGTGAAAAGTATATACAATGTGTTTATTTATACGCTTATTTATATTAGGTGTACAAATAAATTTCCGCCGTTTTTTATCAAAAATTAAGCATTTATTGTGAAAGAACGATACATAATGTTTTATTGATGTAAGTCAAAATGTAAGTGCAAGTTCCTTTTGCGTTTGGCACGAATCTTCATTCAATAATGCTTCCAATTTCGCGTCTTCGTACACTTTCGACTTTCCGCTACGTTCTTTATCTTCGAATTCACCGTTCTTAAATTTTTGGAACCATTCACGACAACTTCTCTCACTTAAGGCAGCCTCACCATATGCTTCTACAAGCAATCGATGAGCCTCAGCTGCAGATTTCTTCAAATTAAAGAAGTAAATCAAAAGTTCCCGCAAATAACGCTTATTCGGCTCAAAACTCGGCATTTTCGCACAAAAAAAATATATGATGCTGATACAAAATCGCTAATATTTTAAGGTTATGTTGTTGACAGATGTCCAACCTTACGATATAATGTTTCACATCAGACAATTTTAACCATAGCTTGCTAGTGGCGCCGTCTTTTGTCAAACGGCGGAAACTTATTTGTACACCTAATAAAAATATTGAAACAAATAATATTTTAGATAATTCACGTATACATTGGACAAGTGAACAAACTCGATTATTCTTACATTTATATGAAAAACACTGCACAGCATTAGATAACAGTGAAATTAGTAGTCGAACATTTTGAAAATATCTTAATAAAGAAAGGATATAATTTTTCTATGGAACAATGCAAAACTAAAATAAATAATATAAAAAAGATATACAAAGAAGTAAAAGATCACAATGCTCAAAGTGGAAACAATAGAAAAACTTGTGAACATTATGATGTAGGTATTTTACATAATATAACAGAAAATGATTTGTGTAATTCATACATTTAAGACATTGTTAGTCTTCCTATTACAGTATTATTTAATGAATTATTCATTCACGCACATATACAATTTTTGCTTTTGATTTTTTTAATAGATTATGGATAATTTGTTTTCAAAAAAATCTTGGATAAAGCCATCTTCAGCAGGTTCAGATATTCCAATAGGAAGCCATATAGAAAAAGAAATACCATCCAAATTAAGATTGTTTAAAAATATTGTTTTATTGTATTAGTATTGTTTATAAACATTTCTCATATTTATTTTATTTTATTTTAGAGTGCCAAAAAGTATCAGATAATACAAATTTATCATCCAATTGGAAATCAGAATTTATAGAAGAATATAAAAAACATAAAGATATGCAGAGAGAAGCAACTGATGAATATAGAAAGCAAAAACTGAGCATTTTAAAAGAATTTACGAAGACCATGAAATAATTATAAGTTAGAAATGTTTTATCTTTTACTTTGCAAGAACTTTAAACTTCCGTTAAATTGTATCTGAATATTAATGTTTTTTTTTAAGATTTGTTAAAATTATTATAAAAGAATTTTTTGAAGTTTATATAATAATATAACTTAATTAATGTAATCGCGTAAAAAATATTTTGAATTCTTTTATAATAATCTAATTTATATTTTATCTATTTTTAATTGAATGTAAAAATTAGTTTTATTTATTGTGAAGAACAATATCAAAATTTTTAGAAATTAGTTTCGTTAAGAAGTCATTCCAAGAATTTTTTAATTATTATAAATGGATAATAAGTTCATTTCAAAATTATATGTGTTCCTTTATTTTTATGAAGTTTTTTATTTCTGAGGTTTAATAATAAATAATATAGAATAATATAGTTTAAGCGGATTGAAGCTGTGATAAAAATATCATTCTACTGTGGAAATATTCATATAAAGATATATAAAATATTATTTTCTTAATACTTCATAAGAACTTTTTGTATGTGATACTATACATTGTGTAACAATTCAATAAAAAGTCATATTTTAAATAATTGATTACTACTACAAAATCTTTAAAATACATATTGTTTAATGGTTTCAAAATAAAAATATTAAAATTATTAGATCTTATCTTTATTTAGAATTATTTTTATTTAGATGATATATAAATTAAGTAGTTAATCTAATTTTTATTTCTTCTCTTTTCGCTGATTCTTCGTCTTGCAATAATTGCTTTACGACCATTGGTTCTGGTTCTGCAACCACATTATCACTGATGATGACTGAATACTCAAAATTATTATCTTGAAGTAGACAGATGTTATGTAAGATGCAACAACTTATTACGTAGTATGGAATCAAATCTGTCCTTCGCTAGGTGATTTATCCAAAAGACATCTCCATCCTCGTCCTTTTAATAACCAGATCTCTTTACTATCATTCTAGTTTTAGAGAGTACGCTATTGTAATATATTTCCTGAGCAGTTAGATGACCATTATCTTTATATGGCACTATAATATGTTTTTGCAATACATAAGCTGAATCTGCGATAATATGGGTATTATTTGAAAAATATTCATCGTTACATCTTTGTTGTAGTCCTGAATATTTAAATATTCTCTATATCATGCACGGATCCAGGAAGGCCAGCATAACAGTGCAAGAATTGCAATTTATGATTACATACAATCCGTATAAACAATTATTTTAAATATTAAAAAAATACTACGTTAATAAAATTTTAAAATAATAAATGTATGTACCTGTAACTGAATAGAGTATCTTCCCTTTTTATTTATATAAAATTGACTATCTCGAGTTGGAGCTGATATATAAATATGTGTTCCATACAGAGCTCCGATAATTCTAGGAAAACCATATTGAATTTGTAATATTTGGCTACATTCATCCAATTCCCTTTGATTTAGCCATCGAATAATTTCTATATTTACAAAGAACTTTAACAATTCTTCGTATTGCTCGCCAAGCTGTTGCCTTATCAACGTCGAATTTTGTAACTGCAGATCTTTAACCAAATAAAATTATTAAAAAATTAATTATTATAACAATTGTGCTTTTATAAAAAATAATTTTAATCAATATAGTAACCTGTATGAATCTGGTGTTGCCAGCATGTACAAAGCAATAAACAATTGTTTTTCTGCAGATATAGGCATTTTCCCTGAAAAATTTTCTCCTTTTAAATCATTTCTTAATAAATGTAAGAGATAATTAAAGATTGAATATCGCAGTCTAAAATTAAAAATTATTTGTTTCGAGTTTTTTGTATACATACATATAGATTATTAAATTAATTTTATACATACGAGAAAATTTTCTCGAAATTCTTCATTGTTGTATTTACAAATTACATTTTCAATAAAATTTTGAACTCTTGCTTTCTTTCTTTTCGAATGATTTTCGTTATCGTCATAAATAATATTTATTATTTCTTCTTCACTTTCAAAACTTTTACTTGAACTTGAAAATAATTCATCAAATACAAATAAAAATCATTTTTTAAATAACAAATTAGACAAGCCGATAAAGTAAATGCAAACTACGTGTCTGATTTTTTACGAAACACAGCTATGTTAGTTATAGCGCTACCAACCTTGTAACTAAAAAATTTTTCGACACAGCTATCGGAACACAATCCTTGTTTAACACACTTTATGTTTCTTTTTCTATAGAAAGAGAGAAAGTGTATAAAATGTGTTAAACAAGGAAAGATTCAGCACCAATTTCACGACGCAAAACAAACCGTAGTCGATTCTTTAAGACTTGTCTTAAGAGGTCATAAGTTAATCCGAATCGTGGTTAGCGTTACACAGTTCTCTTATCGACATTCATAGACACAGACGGCGGACATTCAGAAAGAGATACTTGTAAATTACACACACCATGTTATCCCTTCCACCATGACCGGTACACAGCCACGAATAGAGGAGAAATGTTGGATCCATTGTGGGGTACAAGCATAAGCTAGAGTCCTAGATATAACAGAGAAACGCAACCGAGCATATTTAAAGGTTATAATTAATCGTCTAATGAAAAAATGACGACCTGTGTTTACATCTGTCATTCTATAAACGGAGTGCGATTTTTATAACAGCAGTGTTTCTACTGACTATAAAGTAATACTGATTCTACTTGGAGTATACATATCAAGATTTAAAAATAATGATACTTACCAAAATTAGAGTCCTAGAAGATTATCCATAGAAAAAATAGCGGAACCAATCAGAAATCAGGATTGCGTTTCTCTATTACATCTAGAGGTTTATTCGCGTCACTTGCTCCAGCATGCCCAACGCGCTCCAATATGTTCGTGCCACCGGAACTAATATGGTAATTAGATGTTCGTGTCGCGTTAGAGCATACTCCATGGATCAATTAAGAGCACGCTTTATTTGCCTCACCTCAGCAAATGATGCGGTTGAGGAATGTTACGCACACATGCGTAATAGTTGAAAACATATTGTATTGAAAAAGTATTTCAGATTCATTTATTTGATATAAAACCGCATTTAACAAATGCGTTTTTAATATTGGGTCATCTAAAAAGTATCCGCGGTTTTTTAAATAATAAAATAAAATGAAATAAAATACAAAATAAAATAAATAAATAAACAAATAAAATAAAAAATAAAAAATAAAAAATAGAAAGACAAAGGGCTACGAGCCTAAAACAATCGTTATAAAATAAAAACTTTTTGAACCGTTAATAAATAAAACATGTCATCTAGTTAAAATATAAACATTAACGATAACAAAATAACAAACATTTCGATCCCTGTTGGATCATTATCAATGTAAACGGTGGAAATATTACATAGTTAAGACATAAAAATCAAAGTTCGCTCTGAATCGCATCATTAATAATCAAATTCGCTCAATTTAGAATAAATGTTACAGGAATGTTGTAATCAAAAACCATGTATTCCTCTTGACTATGTATGATGAAGATTATAGACAAACATAATTTGTTTCTATTAAAAAGTACAGATATATTGTATAATAATATAAAATTGTAAAATAAGTAATCAAATCTAATAAAAGAAATACAAGCTAAGAAGCAAGGAATACAAATAAAAATAAATAAATAAATAAATAAAAAAGTAAAAAAGTAATCTATAATAATATGCGAAATGTACATTAAAATCATTAAAACAAATTGCAATTGTATGATGAAGAGTCATAAATTATATATCTTTAATTTAGTAACAGCTAAATCAAATGAGAATAAATACTTTCTATTGCATGTCAATATAATATAAACGTCGTCTATTGTGAGACAATGCGATGAGATTGAAAATAATTACTCTAAGATGCTCACAGACATATAAAATCCACATATCAAAACAAGAAGATTGAAGTGGTAAACTAGAAAGGGAGGAGAACGTAAGAGGGAAAAAATAAAATAGAAGGAAGAGAAAGTGGGGAGTGGAGATGTAAAAAGAGGAAGAATATTAAGAAGGAGAAAGAGATTGAATAATCTGTAAGTTTCCGGTAACAATTCAGTATCATCTTTTTATTAAGACCTTGTTTTTGTCTTTTAATGTGAATCATTTCAGATCTCATTTCTTATTGAACGAAGACTCACAATTCAAAATTTTCACTTCGTTTCATCTAAAATTATGGTCGAAATTGATTTAAACGAAGTGAAAATTTTGAATTGCGAGTCTTCGTTCAATTTTTATTTATTAACGATTCAAAAATTTGTTATTTTATAACAATTGTTTTAGGCTCGTAGCCTTTTGTCTTTCTGCTTTTTAAATTTATTGAGCCTTATTACCATTATAATAAAAAAATATAATAAAATAAAGAAAATAATATTAATATAATAAAATATAATATAATTTAATATAAAGATATAATATAATTTTCATATTTATTTATTGAAAATACATTTATTTTATATAAAAACGCTTTTCAAATAATCGAGGTAACACAAAACATCCGAAACGAAACGAGGCACATGTCCGCTCGAGTCGAGTGATCTCACGGATTAGATTAGATGACATGCTCACTTGTCATAAATCTGTTCGTAACTCTGAATGTTGGGGCATATGAATTGCTCCAACCGCCATCTTACTTGTAATCGAAGTGCTCTCTGGATTAATTTGGAGCATGCGATGCGAACAAATCTTAGGACTCTAACATAGGGCGAGAGTATGATGGAAAGATTACATGAGGTGCGTTCGGGAAGACGCTGTTAGTGCTATTTGTGTCATTCTATCCTTGTTTATGTCTAAACAAACGAAGAAAGAATGACAAAAATAGCGTTAATAGCGTCTCCTCGAACATACCAAGGATGTGCTTAGTTTGCAAGCATCTCTCTCTCTCTAATTCTCTGCCTTCTCGCGTGTCGTTTCGTGATTCCAGTCAACCTTAGTTGTTGTCTTCGCCGTACACACATCATTTAGGCTCGATCTCTTTTTATCATGTAATATCTAGTACTATCAATGTTTGTTCGCGTTGCATGCTCCTACTGTAGTTCCTACTCACTTTAACGCGTTCATTGAAGTGATAGGAACTATTGTATAATAAAAATTGAAACACATTTCAGAAATATATATATTTTATACAAAATATCTATATTTTTTATAAAATTTTTCATATATATGAATTCTGAAATATTTCAAGATTTGTATAAAAAAAATTTTAAATATTTTCTAAACAGATATAAAATGATATAGGAATTCTAAAAATTCAAAATTTGTTTATGTGAATTATAAAATACTGTAAGATTCGTAAAATTTTCTATAATTTTCTATAATTGTATATACAATTGTCTCAGACCACCTGTCCACCCTTTTTATCTCCGCAGGATAAGATCTAATCGAAAATATGTTCAGACTAAATGTTATGGGGTTTAAAAAGATCTATTTATTGATCATCAGTTTGACCTCGGGTGGCTTTGCCAAGGTTAGATCAAGGTCACATCGATTTTTTAAAATGAAACATCTTACTTTTTCTAGAATCTAAGCCGATCAAGAGCTTTCTAAAACTCTATAAAGTATCTTTTGATTATGTTGGAAACGCGCCCTCAGTACCGTTGACATAGAGGGCGAGACGCGTGTTACCGGCCGAGGAGTGACTTTGAGGAAGATGCCGGAAATAGCCGCGTGTGAACGGAAGAAGATGAGATCGGATCGCGAGCAGAGAGAGTGCCCGCCATTATATATTCCCCGCCATTATAGCCGTTCGCCTCTTTTTACTGCCATTGTTACTACGTTTAATCCGAGTCGTATGCTCTCACTGTTTTATAAATTAGCGTGTTCGTGTAAAAATAAGAAGAAGTGTCTATTATTATTGAGAACCTTACGATCCCGAAACCGCGGCTGCAACAGATTAAGTAAATTTCGAGTTGAAGATTAAAAATTACAGTACCGCCGGCATTAGCATTCCCGCACGCACGCACGCACACACACACACACACACACACACACGCGCGCGCGCTATGCACTTTAAATGTATTTAATAGTTTTAACTTGAAACTGATATTTAAATAACCTGATATCTACATAATATTTTACATTTATAATAGAAATTTATTGCAATAAATTCTTATTTTGGATAATAATCCGATGTAAAACTATTTATTCGTTTTTCTCCAGAAGCTGGAGAGTGAAAATATCGAATTTATACAATATGATTAATTATCTCTTTAATTCATAATTGACTTCGATTTATTCCAATTTTAAATGGTTCAATGTCAAAATGCATAGTCGCGTTTCTCATAAGAAATGTGTTACTTTTGTTTCTTAAAACGTGATTTGCGTTTTACTTACGTCGAATTCGCGCTATTATTTTGTCTGCTTCTACATTTACACAAAAAAATTCTTTAACACTTAACTTTTATTAGAACCGTATAAAGCAAGATGATATTTTGATATCATTTTCAAGTTAAAATTAATAATAATTAATATAGACAATTGAGTGAGTGAATGAGTGCGTAAGAATTAGAGAGGGAAAAAAAGCGAAAGAGAGAGAGAATTTGAATGTATATTGTAGATATGTGTACTGTCGTGTGACTGTTGAATCTAAGCACCAGTATGCTTCGATACTCGACTTGATACGTTAACTGTTTCTCTTTATGAAGCTTAAAAATTAAGCTTCAGACAAATTTTTACCAAAGGAAAAATCATCTCCGAATACAGCCAGGAATATATCTCTTTAAGGACAAACGATTATTTTGAATCACCCTTGTATATATTGTGATATCAATATCTGTACAATTATATATAGGATGTTTGGAAAATAATGATAAATCTTTCGCATAGAGGCAAAATAGACTAAACTTAGAAGAAAAATCCTATATCATTTTGCAATTTTCGTAATAATTAACAAGATATTGATTGCTAAAAATTGCTGAAAATCTTCAATAATTTTTTAAATATT